CAGGGGATAATGCTTTGCCAAGTGCTCGTTTACCTATGTGTTTTGTATCAATACAGTGGTCTATCCAAGGTCTAGAGGGCTACTGTTACCCAGTAACATGGCTACCTGAAGGCTGTACAATGCCAGTGGGAGGGATGTTCTCTGTGGCAGAAAATGGGCAGAGTGACCAGAGGAACTAAGTGTGTGTGTTTGCCCTGTGGGGGCGGCTCGCCCTGCTCTCAATAAGGTGTGCTGATGTGTGCTGGAGCATGTTGGGACAGGTCCTGCTTCTAGAAGTGGTAGGACTGCGTCTAAAAGAATGGGCCACTGGAAGAATAAACAGATTTTCAGGAACAGCTGAGAGATGATGTATGTTGGAAACAAACACAGCAGCAGAGCCTTTCTCAGTCATATACTGTAGAGTGTTTATTGTGAGCAAGAGTTGAGAAAGCATTGCTTATAGCCAGACTGTGAAAGGAAGCCTTATAAAGTTGAACCTGGGAAGGCATCAGCAGCCTGATTTTTCTCCTTTAATTCCAATGTTCATGGAAGAGCCTTAGTAAAGCTCATTCCTTCCTCTTCATCCCTTGGGAGGCAACTAACATAAAAAACCAGTGAATCAAACTCAGTCTCTTTCTCTCTTCAAATTTACTTCTCCGTCCTCCTGCACATACCCTCTGGTAAGCTCAGAACAACAGGGTCAAATGTTTGCACATCTTCACCTCTCTTTGTGTTGTCAATTTTGAAATAAACTATATTTTTGAGATTTGATTTCTCTATTGTCTCTCCTCTTAGTTTTCTACCATCAGATTCCAACTGAGAATCAAATAATGACTTGATGGGAAAGTACATGCTTTGAATGAACAAGTTATTGCAATATTAGCTTTGTTCAAAAACCAGTTTTTTTAACAGGTAGTGCAGATATGTAGTTCCCAGCTACATTGCTGTGTAATAGAGAAAACAAAACAAAACAAAAAGCAACCAAAAAAACCCCACATCAAAGCACACTAATTGACTTGGTAGTTAAGTTCTCTTTAAAGTTAAGTCAGGAGAGATACCATGTGTATGGCATTTCAATGGTACCATATATAAGTTTAGAAAGTGTGAATTGTTCAGGGGTATGAGTGTTAGTTAAATTCAACTCCCCAAGGCTCTGGTATCTTGTTGGAGAACAGCTCTAGTTCCTGATAATCTTAACTCTTTGCAGTGGTAACTAGTTAGGTGTTAGACTGTGAAGCTGTCATTCTTGTGCTGCAGCTTCTGATATTGCAGTCTTTACAGAAAATGCTAGCTATCAGCCAGCCTGCCTCACCTGAAGGAGCAGACCTACCTTGGAGCCCACTACAGTGGCAGAGATATTTTGTGATGAGTGTCTTATTCTGCAATAAATGAGTTGGAAATATTTTCAAATCTTGTTCTGGTGTACATTTGACTGTTTCAGCTTTCACTTACAAGGGTAGGAAGTGCTGCTGAACTTGTGTTTCATGCTGATTATTTGTGGCTGAAGGAAGCTTAAAGCTGCAGTATCTGGTCCTTTCATCAGTTCATGATCTCTGCTTGGCTGCTGTTGACACCTAACCAAGGGACTCATTTATCTGAGAGTCTTTAGGCCTGCCATGGGTTTGAGCACCTTTTCTAGGTTTGGGTGCTCTGTAGGACAGAGGAGCTGCTGGCAGCATAAAACTCTTGTTGTGTCTGTTCAGAGGAGAGGCAATGTCCTGAAAGCACATTAGAAAGGTGATTGGTGCTGCCCATTGGTTTAATTTTTCTTGCAGTTCAAGTGGCATGTGGAAAAACCTGATTTCCATTCTCTTCTCTGGTGAAACAAACTAAACCCTGTTTCTTCTGTCTTTCAGGATAGTGGCTAACTACTAGTCTAGTGTGTTCGTGTGCATCAGCACGAGCATGATATGCAGAAATGCCACCTGCCCAGTCAGTAAACAGGGCAGAGCACAGTCAACAACCATGCAAAAACCACTCGTGAGCTTTGTATCAACACCAGTGCAGCTGGTGTGTAATGTCATGGCAATTGTTTCTCAGTCTGAGAAATGTTTTTAAGAGCTTTCTGAAAAAGTTTCACAACAAAAGTGGTCTCAGATGGCCACTTCCCAGGAATTCAATACCTTAAATAAAGGAGAGTGGAGACAGCCTGATAGTAAAATTTCTTTATTTACAGTGTTATGTATTACAGGAAAATCGGTTTAAAAAGTCAATGCTTCTCTTTCTTCAAAGTTGCAGCATTTTTTAAGATGTTAAGACAGATCTGAAGAATTTAAAACACCTGATTCCAGCCTTCCTGGCTGGTCTGGATCTGCAAAGTGAGACCTTCTTGGTTTTTTCCTTATTTTTTTTTCTTATCCTTTTTTATTTTTTTCCCCCCAGCCCTTTGAGTTTCAAGTAAGGCATTCATTTATTTATTTTTTCTTTTTAAATGAGGATACAGAAAAACAAAAGACAGTATTTGTGGGTTTGGTTGCAGTAGTAGTCTTGAACACTTAGCATGCTGACATTGTCTACCTCGATAGTCAAATGCATGCCTTGCCGTCAGAAAGGTCATGGACTCTGCTCAGCCTAAAATCCATGCTGGGCCACATGACTACTTTGTTGCCTACCTTAGATAAATGGATAATTTAGTTGCCTTGTGAGCTACCTTGTCAGCTCTTCCAGTTCCTTCTGTATTTACCCTGGTTTCCTGTGTCAAACTAACATCTGCAGAGCTCTGAAGCTCTGTTGTTACTTAGACTCATATACAACTCCTTCAGTCGTACCTGCTAATTTCTTAGGACTTGTGAATTTTGCAGCATAAACCAGAAAGATCTATAAAGTTTCTGGAAGGCCTAGTGATATCTAGTATACACACACAGTCTAGGCTTTGTAACTTTTTTGTAGGTTTTCTCCTGTTGTTTTTGTGTTTGCATGTTTGTAGCTGCCTTCACTCCTTATCAAATGTTAAATAAAGCAAAACACTTTTGTTGTGCCCAGCTTCCTGAAGCACAAGCAAATGTGTATTAACACCAGTTAGTTGTATGACTGTGCTGGTTGTGTTAGTGTTCAAAAATTGCAGTTATTTTGGTCACCCAGTTCATGATTACACAGCTTAGCAGCCAAGCTGTTCAGTTGTACTGCCTGTGCTGCAGCGTTGTGGGGATTTCAGTTTTCTGCTGGAGCAGAAAGGTTTTGTCCACATTGTATTGGAGCAGGAACTGGAACTATCTGGAGACAGGTGGGATCCAATAGGACTTTCAAGCACAAATTTGTACTGAACTTTGATTCACGCCACTTTCTCCTCTTGCTTTTGCTGGACAAACCCATCTGATCTTCCCTCATCTTGTACCACTTTCTCAGCCCTTCCCCCATCTTGTACCACTTCCTCAGCCCCTTTCCTTCCTATCTGTGAGCCCTTGTGGCTATAGTCTCTCAGGCTGCTCCCAGCTAGGCTGGCTGCTCTGCATCCATCCTGGGACAAACTTTCCTGCCTCTGCACCTGCAGCATCCAGGACCCACTGATGACACATCATCTAGAGAGGATAAGTGACCCAGGAGATGTGAAGAACTGGAGGAGCAGGATTTGGGACAGCTTCCTCTCTCTGTAGGCCCTCTACAGCTGCTTGGTCCCTCTGTGCTGGCTGCACACTTGGTTTGTCCCTGGGGCTCCATGGGCTGATGGATGGGAGAGCTCTAGATGGGTCCCTTTACAGAACTGCTTAGGTCTGGGGGTCTTGATGGGCTAGGGTGACTCCGAGAGGAGTTTTTATTGAGGAAATTTGTACACATGAGATTGGAAGAGACCTGAACCAGAAGAAGAGAGGGCAAAAAGCCCATGTCCACTTTTAGTAGAGATTTTGAAGGGGGTTAAATTAGAAAAGAATGAGGGCAGGTCTCCAAAGCTAACCTTGGGTGTTCTTAATTTCTAATCATTTGAGTGGGAGGTAAACCCAGCTAACTCGAGCCGTGAAAATGGTGACTAGTCTTGGTATGACACACACTATTACAGCTGCAGACAGCATCTACTTGGTTTGCCTGCAGAGGATCATGCTGCAATCCCATCTGTTTCTCCAGTCAGAGACCAGTCTGAATAAGACCAACCTAGCACAGAAATTCCTATATAATGTACATTGCCCATTGCTGAATTTGCTTATATTTGCTTTTTTTTCCTGCATCTTCCAGTCTATTAATGTTTGGCATGTCAGTTTGCTTCAAATTAGCAGTGTTTGTATAGGATTAACTTTGTGTGCATTTATACTCAAAGGATTTATCTTCATTAAGTTGCTGAGCTCCCGTTTCTTTGAAAATTTAGTTAGTCAGAAGTCCTATTAGTTTAGCACATCCAAAGTATCTTGTTTTGCTCTAAGTAGAGCTCAAAACCCCATGTAATCATGTAATATAATGTATTCTAAATACCATACCGGGCAGCCCCAGCTCCCTGAAGTAGCAAGCTCCTGACAGCCTTCGTGGTGTCTGAGTCAGGTTGCACATACATCAAGTGAGTGAGCACCTGGGCCCTGCTCTGTTATGTCCTTCCTCAGGGCTCCCAAGTGACAAAAAGGATGGCTGCATCTCACTGGTGTCCACAGAAGGTAATGTGTTTGGGGAGTTGCTGGGAAGAAGCAGAGAGGGGTATAGTGATGGAAAAGGTATGGCTCTCTTACCCCCTCCTTCCTTTTTCTGACCTTGGCCACAGTTTAGCTGAGTGTGTTGGGTGCACTGTGAAATCTTGTCTCTCATGTGCACAGTGTTCAGCTCATTAGTCTGAACAGAGTTCCAACCTTTTGAAGGCATTGATGGATTTATCCATCAAGTGTATTATAAGGCGTTTTTGTGTCAGCATTGGAGATCAGAAAGATTTTCTTTTTCATATGAGAAAGATCTTGGCCTTCTTGTTCCAATGGTGATCTTTGACAGGACAAGTAATTCTGTTTGTTTTGTTAAAACCTAAATAGCAGTACATTAATAAGTGTCTGGTACAAAGAACTGATAAATGTAATCAAATAGGTCTTAAGCTAAAGCTTGTAATTCAGTCTTTTTTCTTCTTGGAAAAAAACATAGGAAATATTATACTTATTGTGCTTTCTTATTGTTCAGGAATCCATTGGCAGCAGCAAAGTAGTCCTTATGGAAACCATTCTTGATTTCTGCTGTGATATGGGTTTCCTTTGTAGCTGTTCTTGAAGGTGCTTTCCTGTATGTCTGTGAAAGCAAAATCCAAAGTAAATACTTACATTTATTTAGTGCCCCCCAAACACTATTTATGGTTGACTGTAAAATGGAGGTTTCTGGTGTTTGTTGAGGCAGATGTACGTATTTGTTTCAGACTGCATTAAGGGAACTGTATTATTGTTACTTCCAAGGGTGATATTACTTTACTAGTATTACTGTAATACTTCTTGGTGTCAAAAGAGATTTTTAAGCCTTTTTCACTAGAAGCTTTATGTTTGCAGGCAGGCTGGAGCAGTCCTTGCAAAAAAAGGTTGAAATAAACACTGCAGAGGCAGAGCTGCCTGTTTCTTTTTTCCAAGGAGAGGGAGGAAGACTCAAAAATTTGCCCAACAGAACAAATTCAGGCCTTTTAAGTTCTGAATGTGGTATCTGACTGATATACTAGTGCAGAAGAGCTGAGCTGCAATGAGGAGGTCAAAATTACTGAATAACTGTCTCTTGCAGACATTACTCATCTATAATTCTTAACTGACATGTATATTTTAATACAAACATATTTTAAGCACTAATACTTGTTCTACACATGAGTTCATCAAGACTGCTGATGAACCAAAAAGTTATTTTGTTTTTTCCCCCCACCCTTGTCAGAATGCTGTTGGAAGACTGTTTACCTTAACATAGAAGTTTACGAAGAGAATGACCAGTGTGGCCATGTAGGAGGACTGGAACATGAGGCAGCCAAATGGAAATCCACATGGCTTCACAGCTGCGCTAAGTGTGTGCACAATAGTGAGCAGAAACTGGATCTAGGGAGGAAAGATCTTGCATGAATATTTGCTGAGAAAGTGTCAGTGCAAGCTAAATCAGATATAACAATGTCACCTAGTTCTGCTCTTTAAAAGTCTAAGTACTTTTGAAAAATATCCCTTTCTGAACCTGTGAATGTATTGTGAGGGTTAAGTTAAAACAGCACTCTTATGAAATTATAAAAAACCTAAGGGATCAGAGACTTGTAAAAATATGGATTTATAGGCCTAGTTGGCAAAATGAAAGCTCTTTTATTTTAATAGAGGTTGTTCTAACTTCCAGACCATGTCGTGCCAGCTACAATTTTATTACTGGTCAGAAACTCAAGATAACTCTGAAGACTCAAGGCAATAGCTTCAGAAGTCTGAACTGAATGTGGAAATCTCCTAGGCCCGAAGAGAAGTTCAAGTATGCTGGCGTTTGCATTAACGGAGTTAAGATGACAAGGCGACAAATGAAGCAAAAATGAGCTAAAGAAGAAATTGCAGAAGGCTGGCTGTATTTAGGACTGCTAACCACAGCCCACACTGGTGCATCTGATTTTTCCCACTCCACTGAGGTCACCCTTGGTCCAGTGTGCTGGGGTGCATTTCCAGCAGAGCAATGAGTTTCAACTGCAGGGATTGTCTCAGCTCAGAGAAAAGAAGCTTTTGCTAAACATTTCTACACAGGTGTTTTTAAGCTCACTGCAAACAGCTGAACTCCCGAATAATATGAAAGGGCCCTAAAAGTTTAAAACAAAAACAAAAACAAAAGCAAAAGCAAAACCAAACAAAAACAAAAAAAAACCACACAAGAGAGAAAGAAACTTTATTCCACATCAAGCCTTATCTTGTTGGTAGAAGCTATTGATGTAGCTCACCTCTTCAGGTGTAACAACTGCTGGAGTGGACTTCTGGAATTCAGACAACCTCTGTCTTGTCTAAGAATTTGCTTACATAATTTTGCATTTTATAGCTGGACCATGGTGTGGTGGGTTAACCTTGGTTGGCTGCAAGGTGCCCACCCAGCTGCTTTCTCACTTCCTCTCTTCAGTGGAGTAGGAAGAGAAAACAAGATGAAAAACTTTGTGGTTTGAGATAAGGCCAGGGAGGGTAATTGATAACATTTACTGTCACAGACAACACAGACTTGACTTCAGGAAGATTAATTTAGTTTATTGCCAATTAATAATAATGAGGAGGATAGTGAGGAATAAACCTAAACCAATAAGCCAAAACCACCTTCCCCTAAGCCCCTGTTTCTTCACAGGCTCAACTTCACTTCTGACTCTTCTACTTCCTTCTCCCAAGTGGTGCAGGGGAGTGGGGACTGCAGTCAGTCCACATTGCTTTGGATCTGCTGCTTCTTCCTCCTCACACTCTTCTTCTGCTCTAGAGAGGGGCTCCTCCCACAGGAGATAGTCATCCATGACCTGCTCTAATGTGGGTTTTTTCCACGGGGTGCAGTCCTACAGAGACAGACTGCTCCAGTGTGGGTCCCTCACAGGTTCTGCCAGGAGACTGATTCTGTGTGGGGTCTTCTGTGGGCTGCAGCGTGGATATCTACTTCACTGTGATCTTCCATGGGCTGCAGGGGCATAGCCTGCCTGACTGTGGTCTTCTCCAGGGGCTGCAGGGGAATCTCTGCCCCTCTTCCCCTCCTTCTGCTCTGACCTTGTCAGAGGTCTGTAGGGTTGTTTCTCTCCCTTTCTCACTCTTTTCTCACAGCTGCTCTGCAGCATTTTTTACACTTTATCATATGATATCACAGAAGTGCCCTCCACTTTGTTGATGGGCTCAGCTTTGGCCAGTGGTGGGTCCATGTTGGAGCTGGCCCTGTCAGTTTTTGTAATTTTTTTAATCTGTCTATTTGCCATGATTAAGCAGTGTCCATTTTCTACACAAGAGATCAAAAATAATGGAGATTTATGGACTGCAGAGTTTCTGCTGTATTGTGGAAAATATGTCTGAGCATCATTTTCTTTATTAAGTTATACCAAGCTGTACTAGTGACTTATTCTGTGTGATAGCTTTGTTATATTTTAATTCTAACTGGCTTAACTCTGCAAATGACAATATTTATCTATCATTCATTTTGTCCTCTCTGGCATTTTGAAGGATTTCTGGTAATTAAAAATGAGGTTACAATAGATACATACCAATTGTGCCTGAGTGAGGTATTTCTTCCACCACAGATACTTGCGCATAGAAGGGATGACTGACAGTCCATAATAAGAATACATGAGCACGTGGATAAAGCTATTCAAAGTGGGTCCAAAGAAACCTATAAAAATCCAACCAGAGAAACGTTGTATATACTAACCACTAAAAAGTGAGAGAAGATAATACTGTTGGCAATGTTTCCTGCATATGATAGGACTTCCCTCTGTGCCTATCCTTTGCTAAAGACATTCCTTACGTGAAAAGATGCTGTTCTAGGTACAGACAAACTGGGTTTTTTTCATGCTGAATATTGTGTTTTCATCATGTATTTTTCATTTTCTCCACTTTATTTTTCTATTCTGTAGTTTACAGGTTATTGCTCTTGTTCTCCTCCCAAATGTGTCTCCATTATTGCTGTAAGCTTTAGACGCTGCTGATACCGTATCTTAGCTCCCTGGGAGACACCTGATCTGCTCCTTGAAGCAGTAGCAAGGGCTTTACTCTGAATTAAACTAACCTCGTGTGACTGTGAGCACCACTCTCATTTTCTTCAGTGATTCTTCTGCTAGATGCAAATTTCCAGAATTTCACCCCAGATAATACCATGTCACTCTAAATAGCTATACTTAATAAATACTAATTCTAGAGCAAATGAATTACCCTCTGTACCTTTCATACTACTGAGAAGCAGCAGCACTGCTTTTACCTGCTGTATGCTCACGTATTTGATGGCAGTGCTTGACAACTACAAGATGGTCTCACCAATTGTTTAGATTTTTAAATTGATTAATTACTTAATTACTGAATAATTACTTATCTATTGCTTTTTTCACTCTGTTTATTATAGTAGAGCAAAGCTAGTGCAACATGTAGGGAATCTGTTCTGACACAATAGAAAACACGAACGCCCACTAAATTGTTTACGCCTCTGTAGAAATAGCTCCTAACTGCCATGAAATCCTTGATCTCTGCTTCTATCTATAACAGTGATTTACTTCGATTTTGTGCTGTCCATAACAAGTGACAACAAAGGTGATTTCTTTTCTTTTTGTTTCAAAAAATGCCTGCAACAAGTTGCTTTACAAAATATTACAGTGGACTGAGGTGACTCCCTTTACTAGCTCAATGTAAGAAAACGGATTTTTTTTTTCCTCAACTCTGATAAGTGTCACAGGAAGCCTCCCTCTGGATGTATGATGCCCTGGAAAAGCATGCATGTTGTCAGACACCTGCAGTAGTTCTCTGCTGCTTGGACTTGGAATACAAATACCAAAGGACCAGCCTGTGTCACTGTACATCTTCCCCACCTCAACAGAGGAGATGATGACAATTATAATATCCTCCTAAGAGCCAAGTTGTTTAGAGATTTCTATTGTGAAATATATTGAACCCAAAATAGAATAAAGCAAATGATGCTGCTGCTTCTGCTATTTCAATGTGAAATGTAAGACCATATCAATCGGTTCTGGCTGTCCGGTAGTTCTACTACTTGAATGAGATGCATTCTCATTTAAAACAAGACAAACTTGAACTGTTATTTTAATACCATTCTCCCACAGCATCCTTCTGGAGAAGCTGTCTGGGCATGGCTTGGACAAACATACATTTTGCTGGGTTAAAAACTGGCTGGATGGCTGAGCACAGAGAGTTATGGTGAATGTTTTTGTGTTCCTGTGTGACCTAGTCTAGGTGATTCTGCTCTGGCAGGGGGGTTGGACTGGATGATCTTTGGAGGTCCCTTCCAACTCCTAATATTCTGTGATTCTGTAATTAGCAATTATACAAGTAAATTATCTTTTTAAAGCAGAATGTCAGATTGATGCATACAGGAGTCAAACTTGTAAAAATGTTTCTGAGTTCATTTGTCATTATTTCCTCCTACATCTGCTTTTGGAGCAAATCTTGTATGTGGTCACTCTTGTGTACTACTCAGTAGTGTTATCCTGCCTAAAAGTGGTTTGAAGAGCAGTAAATACAAGAGATTGTGGCAGCCAAGTGGAAAATCTATGACTTAACACTCAGTTATTTTTGGCCTGAACTTCTAACTGTACTTTTAATTTTACTGTAGCCTGCAGATGTTCAGCAGTTCTGAAAGGTTATGAACCTTAAAGGTGCTGTCATATGGCAGAGTGACAAACTTGCTTTGCATGGTGATATGATGCCCCTCCAGCAGCAGGTGACTTATACCCCAGGTGATGAAACGAACAGAGACTTACTTTGCCCACAAGGTATCCAGTTCAGAACACACCACCAAATGTTGAACATAGTGGCATGGTGATACACATGGAGGAAGGTGATCTGGCTGGTTTTCTTTCTCAGTACAAAGAAGATAGTGTCCATGAATTCAATTACTTTGGAAAAATAATACCACCACAGCACCTTGGCTACCTGTACAAGCAAGAACAAAGGAGCAGGAGATCAATATCTGTCCACAAAAAGGCTTAAATATTGCTGTACTCCTTCAGTCCCTAGGCATGCAACTTCCCAAAAGGCATTAACGTCCTATTGAAGGAGAAGCACAAACTCTGGCTTCAATTTTACTTCCCTTTCAAATGAATCGCATCATTGTTAATGCGTTTGTATAAATATTTAATTATCTAAATATAATTTAAGAAATATAAACTTACAAGAAAGGTTTTCTAATTGTTCTACAATTGATACAGTTTTGTGGCAATTTTTGTGGGTTTGCTATCTTTTCTTTTTATGGTGTGGTGTATCTCCTGGCACTGAACACATTTTGCTGGCAGCAGTACTCCAAATTTGACATTCAAAACAATGGAGCAGACCTTCTTCTAGAGTTGAAGACACTTGATCAGAGCTCAGGATATGTCCCAGGACAGCCAAAGACAGTTAGATAAAACAGAATGGGGAAAGATATCTTGTTGATGGGAAAAGGTATTTAATTGACCAGTCTTTCTGCCCTTGAACTCTAATGTTATCTGGAAAGCAATCCTGATGTGGGGGATGACACAGTGTTAATATATGGAATTGCTGTGGTGCAGAAATAAAGGTTGAAACTAGAGATGAGCCAAGCCAGCACGTGTCTGTCTCTGCAGTTTTTCAAAGTCTTAAGTTGGGCTTAAATCAGTTTCAAGTTAGATCCTAACAAGTGTTACATTTTAGATGACTGATTTTTCTCCCAATTTCTTAAATAATCCATGTTCTCTATTGTAATACTTGGACAACACTGTTTGGATCACAGATCTTGGTCTATGGCTTTTCAAAATATTCCCTGTTGTGCTTTCTACAGAAAGGATGCATCTGCATTGAATCAGAAAGGTAAAACTTCTTGTTTGCTACCAACTGCTATGCAAGTTGATTAAAGCTCTCATGTTTAAAGATGTCATTGTTAACACCCTTCTAGCTGCCGTGAACACAGAAGCATTGCACTAGGGATGTGGAGGGCGGGACTGCCGTGGATGCTGGGGACTGAGCTGTTGCTGTCTCTCACCCGGATGTCGGCCTCCCCTGCGTCGTGGAGATTCTGGCACTGCAAGTTGTATCCTCCTTCCCATGTGGCAAGGATGAGCTGGAACAGAAAACACCGCAATTATGTTTACGAACAGATGTAGCAAGTTTTACCCCTCTGGTTGTTCTGCTGTTATTGAAAGAAGCAGAATGGAAGTATGGTAGGTTCCCATTCCTTCCGTAAACTGATGCTCTTAAATTGGAGAACTTGCTAAGATCTTCTATTTTGAAATGGGAAAGGCATCAGGTTGTGTTGGGGATATACACTGAAATGATGTAACTTTTAAATTTCTCTGGCTTTACAGTCTTTGAGGCATCCATGGAAATCTCTTGTTACTTAGTGCAGTGATCCTCGCCCCAGAGCTCACACATTAGTATTGTATCTCTACCCTGAAGCAGTGTCAAGAGAGCTTAACACAGCTGCTTGTACAAAACAGTCCTTGAGAAGAATTCCCCAATGCCAAGGTAGCAAACAGAAGGCAAATCCAAAGTAGCGCAATGGGAGAAATATTTCCCAACTTCATACATATGTCTCTTTATCCCACACTCTTAAATGCAGAAGGAAGCAAAAGAGAGAGTGCAGTGCTGAATAGAGAAATGAACAGACACACAAGGAATTTCCTAGATTTAGTGTGTGTCATACCGAGAAGCAGGCAAAGTATTGAAATGTCAGGCTACCACACCGTGATGGAGTGGAAGGTTTCTGGCAAGCCATGTGGTGGCTTTTGATGTGAATTGTTTATGTAGTGATGACCACCTAAAGCATTCATTAGCCCTTTTGGAATAGGGAGCGTAATTTGTTGTCTGTAAATGCAGGGTCCATTGATTTTAAAAAGGTCTTCCTTAGTCTTGAATGTGTAAGAAGTGGTTTTTGGGGCCAAATTGAACATTGCTATTTTATTTTTCTCAATCAATTATAATGAAATCCTCATTGGCTTCATTGGTTGGAACTAGTGGTAGTGGGACCATCTCTAGTCCCTGTGATTGCAGGGAGAGAAATAATGAACCACAAAACCTCAAAACCCTAAAAACAAATGAAGGAGAGGCAACTGATTTTTTCCCTTCTTGTACAAGGCAATGTCACAGACTAGGGAGGACCCTTTCATCAGATTTTACTGTGAAACTATAAACTGCAAATGCACTCTATTTTTTGTTAAGAGATAAAGTTTGGGGTTTGTTATATTAATATTTTACATGCTGATTTGTAACTTAGGTCTATGATATGATGTGCCTATAATGTGTTTTATCTACAGCTCTTAAACAATTTTATCTTATGAGAAAGATGTAATTTTAATAATTAGTCTTAGAACAAAATGAAAATAATTTTACCTGATGGATTCTATTGTATTCTATATCTGTACATTCATATCCTTCCTATGCTTAAATTGGTGAAACTTTTTCATTTCTCTTTTAATGCATCTTTGGGAATTTGTTTTTTTCAGAATCCAATGGCAGACACACTTTACTCTTTCAGTCTTTTTTCTCTTCTCTTAATAACAAACATTTTTTTGCTGTGCTGAAGATACCTAACTTCATAAAGCCCTCTGCTACAGTAGGTGAAATGTTAGTTCACAGAAGTTGGCTAGAAAAAAAAAGGTATTTTAAATCTATTCATTAGTCTTTTCACAAATGTTCTGATTTGTATATAATTACAACAGACTGATTTTTAAAAAATATATTTCTTATTTGTCTTGTGTTTTGTGTGCTACAGGTTTGGAAACTTTCCTGCTGGTGCTATATTTACCTGGCCTGCTCAGTTATATCGCCACGTTTTTCAAGGATTCTGTTCATAGCTCTTATGCTGGAAAATGAGATGAGAAAACCCTCAAAGGCTCAGAAATAAAACAACCAATTATTTCTTTTCAACATCACAAATTTTTAACTTGGCATTTGAGAAACCTGCAACTTTTCTCAATTGGTTGGCATGCAAATTGAGAGCAAGCTTTGGGGTAAGAACATCACTCTCTTTGACTGCAGGGTTTTCTTTCATTTCTTCTTTTGTTCATTCTTCCATGATTTTGTAAAATCCAGATTTGCAGATCACACTGTGTGCCTATTCCCCAATTGTTTGACTTGACAGAAGAGTTCCTTCTGGCTTTTGTCTGTGTTTCAAGAGCCACCAGCTTAGAGTGGCAATTTGTTTTGTTGGCCTTATCTTGCTCTTTCATGTCAGCTTTTCCATAGCTCAAAATTTCTCCTTTAGGGAGAAGAGGAGAATCTACTTTGAGTTTTGATTGTTCCACTTTGCAAGATAATTTTCAACTTATCTGATTAATTTCATAATAAAAAATTAGTGGGGAAACTTGGAAGACAGAGACTACTTTTGGGGGCATCCTGGTGGTGTTAGGCCATGACTTTTACGTTGACTATTGATGATCTGGAAATTAAGCAGCTTACCCAGTGGTACTAAATGAGACAGCTGCACATCTGGAACAGAAGCTGATACCCTGACACAAGACATTTGGTTACTGGATCCCTTTTTCTCTGATACCAAACTCATACACTACTTCTACTGTTTCAGTTATGTTCCCTTTCACAAACTGTGCACTCTCAAGAGTCTGCAAAGCTGCTGGTACTGTTAATCACGAAGAGATGGTGCAAGGGCAGGATGTATTAAAGAGATGAGAAGTACCCTCTCTCTGAAACTGCCAATTCTTTCTCTCCAGAAAACAATTCTTTGAATGCTTTGCATTCTTGGCAACCAATCTTGAAAATAATATTAATACATGCATTGTTTGAAGCTATTTAGAAAAACAGATCACGTAAAGAGGGAAATGCTGCCTCGTGAAAAAAATTTGTACTAAGTAGCAACATCCTGTCAGTTGAATTTTCATATTTTGCCGTTGCTCTAATGTTCTTAACAGATTTCAGTTGTTACACCAACGAATGACCTTTACTTATCTGGTAGAGGTGAAAGAGTGCAAGGATTTGCAGCAGTTGCCTCACTGCTGCCTTCTAAATCTTTCTTCTTTTTTTTTTTCTTTAATAGCAAATTACATTATTCAGGAATAGGAGCTAGTTCCTTTGTAAGAAGTCTCAGTGTGGAAGGAAGCAGAAGATGTCAAAGCCTCTCACCTTGCTGAGTAGCAGAAAAAGCACCAACAGCCTGGGCCCAGAGGCCTATGCCCTGCTCATTTCAAGCTTCCAGCTTCAAATCTCACAGGTATAGCTTGTTTCTGCATCTGTTCCCTACAGGTAGGCCAGAAAGGAAAGTTATGTGATTTTTCTGCATGGATATTCCTATTTCTACTGACTGCAGTTTCTCTGTGCTCTTTGAGCTGTGGTAAAAGCTCCATGCATGTTGGGCTTTCTCAGAAAGAAAATGTCTGGAGGCAGCAAAGTATTCCTCCTTGTCCTAGGATAGGAGAAAGTCAGAGGGTGAGGCACCAGCACCTGGAATATAAGCAAGGCTTGTATGGCCTTTGGGATATTTTCAGTTTACCTGGAGATATGGGTGGTGTTTGTAATCTCAGGGAAATGAACAGACCTTTCTCACCACACCCACCCTGCTAATACTTTAGTTCATTTATTTATGCTAGTATTTATCTCTCCATTTACTATATATTTTCACCGAGTGTTGAGCTCCTAGTTAGAATTCCAAAATCAACAGTTTAGCAAAGTTTTGTAGATACCGCTTTACCCTCCAGAAGGATCCCCTTTAATTTCTGGTTAATGATGGTAATCTCCAGATCGATCTGCCTTGATTTTTCGTTATCAGAGACATCCTAAATAAGCTCCTGAAACACCATGGTATCTGTGAAACAGTTCAGAAGGGAGGCAAAAAACAAATATTGGAATTAGTATTCAAATAACTGGATTTCCTCTGAAAAGTTCAGAGTGGGAGGTCTGTATGACACTCCTAGTCATATGGTTTAATTTTAGGTAATCCTGCAAGGAGCATAGAGTTGGACTGAATGATCCTTATGGATAGCTTCCAACTTGAGATATTTTATGATTCTATAATGAGCACTAGTGTCTTTCTTGTAGAAAAAATGAAGGAAGAAGCCCCTTATCATAAAATCACAGAATGGTTTGGATTGGAAGGGATCTTAAAGATCATCCAGACCAACCCCCCTGCCATGGACAGGGACACCTCCCACCAGACCAGGCTGCTCAAAGCCCCATCATTCTGTATATGATGTTTTATGTGGAACTCCAGCCTTCAGGTTGATGAAAACATCTTGATCTGATAACTTTCCTCAAGCAATGGAGGTCTTGCTATACTAAGGGCCTAATCTATATAGTGGAAAGAAATGTCTACCTTGCAGAGCTGTGAATCACCTATTTCCTTTGGCTGAGGGAGGCTTTTGTTAGTCCTTGTGAATAGCACCTCCCTGTTAGATCTCTAGACTTTGACAACATAATCCTAAAGCAGTTAGAAGCAGGTCAGTTTCCAAGGAAAAGGAGTCTAACCGAAGGCTCAGGTCAGTGTCTTATGAAGGAGAGAGAAATTACTTTGTTTTCTTTGTATTTTTTATTTTAACTGAATTTTAGAATGAAATGCCTCAGAAGATTATCAGTGTCTAAAAACAGAGGCTAGGTTTCCATCATCTCACCTAACTTTTCTTTTCCAGTTCTGAAAGGAGAAATCAGCTCCTTGACTGTAACATGGATCAATTCCAAAAGCATGCTGCATCTGAATTGTCTTTCTGTCCCCAGGAGGCTGGAACGAAGGCATTCTGCAATGCTACTGAGGCTTTTATGTAATAAGCAGATGAATAGAGGAAAGTACCATTAATAATCCTTGATTTATTATTTAAACAACCTTAAACAATACCTAAAAAGCTTTCAGATGGGTTTTCTGGCTAGGACATTCCATAGTAAAATAATCTGTGAATGGTGTTTGAAGAATATCTTTCTATATAGGCTATTTTTGGATAAGTCTCCAAGAATTGTGGTGTAAGCCCAGATTTTAAATGGATAGCTGAGATGCAGAACAGACTGTGCTTCCAGATTGCTCCTCTTGTGATCTGGAGATCCCAAACAAGCTGTAGTCTGGCAAGACCATAAGTCTCAGAGGAAAGCAGCATGGGCTAGATTGTTCAGCCCAGGACTGGAGGA